AAGGTCACCTTTGTGTTTCTGTGACTGCCCGTCCCATCCCTAGTTTGGAGGTAGGAAGTGGAAGAAAGAACCCTGGGTCCTTTCTGTCCCCTTCTGGGAGAGATCTCTGGTGGGTCTGCTGGTCAGCAGACTCTGTGCTGGCCTCTGGGGACAGGGACACCCTCTCAGGGTTTTCGTGAGGACTAAACCCACAGGTGAGTGTCCTTTGTCAGTTTGCCAGGTCCCTAGTGATGACGGAGCCCAGGGCCTCCTGCAAGCTCGACATATGCTTTATCCCTGAGCAACTCTTGACTTTGGAAATGAGCTTTTGGTGTCTATTGTGGGCTTGCTCACATATCAGCTTTCCCTGAGGGCCATCATCCGGGCACTTAGTAACGTGGGAAGGATGATATGGCCAGGCTGTGGGAGGGCTCACTGTTTACTATTGTCTGTGAAGTCAGTGGGTGACCAGCCTGGAGAGGGGGGAGGCAGCTGGGAGAGAGAGCAAGAAGGGCAGGGTGGCTAGACAGGCAGGAACAAGCCGTCCTTTCCCCGCTTGGATGCCTGACCACTCCTCTCCGTGCTATTCGGGTTTCTTCTTTGGTGTGAAGGCTAAAGCAATCAGCGCCTTGAAATATGGAGAAGCCCAAGCTTGACTGGAGGGCCCATGTGCTGTCTCTGTGTAGGGCTCAGAGACCTTCCCAGGCATTGCCCGGGCCCTTCTCCTGGGATCGCTTCTGGCACCTCCTTCCCCGGGCACCTGCCAGTTTCATACTGTCGTGGTCAGGCTGGCCCCATTGCTTGATCCCCAGGCCCAGGCTGCCCCTCCTGGTCCCCAGCCAGTCTAGAAGCCACCTCTCATGACCTTGGGCCCTTCCTAAGTGCCTGGCACCGGCCTCGCCAGAACCCAGCCAACTCTCAGCTTTGAAACTGGATAGTTGAAACCCAGAAGAACAAAAGGTTGTTTGCGTGGCCCACTGACAAGCTGCAGGTGTCACGTCAGGCCTGCCTACGTACTTGCGGTCACCCTGGCTTTGTGTCATTACAGGGACTGGAGGGGGCCCTCCACCAAGCCGCAGCCCTGGCTCAGGGGTGCTTTCCCTTGTTGCCCTCACAGGGCTAACCAAAGATGGCTTTGCTCAGATTAACAGTAAAATACAGGAACGCTCAGGCCTCTTGGCAGCCAGAACACAGACAAGTTTCTAGGAAAAGGGACATCAGGAAGTCAGCAAAACCTTTGTGCCTGCTAACGGGACAGTCAGCTGCAAGCCCTTCCACAGGAAAGCCTGTGAGACCGGTGGAGCTTCTGGCAGTGAAACAGAAAATTCCTGGCCGCCTGGGGGAGGGGCAGGCAGCATGAGCTCCAGACTGGCTGGTTAGGCTAGACATTTCCCCTCCCCTCTTCCTCCCTCTACAGCCAGGGACCGGTTACCTGGACACCCACTTGCCTCCTAGCAATGGCCATGCGTGGCCTCTGCCTGCGTGTGACCAACCAGGCAGCACACACCCCTTCCCCAGGGCCTCTCAAAGAGGAGGAGGTGAGGCCTCCGTGGGTACTGAAGCCACAGTGTCAGCTGCCTTGCTGGCTCATCTGTCATTTTGCAGGTGCTGTGTGTGTGGCTGTGCTGAGAGCAGGATTAGGGCTGAAGAAGGGACTAGAACACACCTGTCCCCCACCTAGGCCTTGGACTGTTCAGGCCAGTGTGCCTTCTCTGCAGCCGATCAGTTCCAAAGCAATACACGGAGGCTTATAGTAGTTATGAACTGTTTGGTCTATTAGCTCAGTTATTTGTATTTTAATAAATATCCTTTTAACAAATAAAGCTTGTCTGAAGATCAGAGAGTAAAACAGCCCCACTGGTCAGCCTTACAGACCAGGCAGTGGTAATGCACACCTTTAATCCCAGTAGCCACACTAGTTGCCATAGAAACCAAGCAGTGCACGCCTTTAATCTCAGTCCTAGAGAAGATTATAAAATGGGAGGAGACAGCTCTCGACAGTCTCATTCTGAGATTTTCTCATTCTGAGATTCCTGGAGGCAGGATGGCCATTTTCGGACTGAAATCAAGGTAAGAGCCAGTGACTGGCTGCTTTGCTTTTCTAGTCTTTAGGTTGAACCCCAATTTCTTTCTGAGCTTTTATTAATCTTGCTTCATTAGTTGGGTGTGGGCTGAGGGCTCGTGGGGATGAATTGGTCATTCTGTCTATTTCTGTGTCTGTTCTAAGTTTTTTGAGACAGAAAGTACAAACGGGGCTGAGGGTGACTGACACCCAGTTGGTAGAGTACTTGGTCCTCAGTGCTGCATGAAGCTGGCCTTGTGAGGGATGGGGGATGGGCCAGTGGTTAGGAGCACTTGCCACACAGGGGAGGTGGTAGCGCACATTTTAATCCCAGCACTCTGGAGGCAGGGACAGGTGGATCTCTGAGTTCAAGGCCAGTCTGGTCTACAGAGTGAGTTCCAGGACAGCCAGGGGTACACAGAGAATCCCTGACTTCAAAAATAAATAAAAAACAAACCAAAAAATAGCGCTTGCAGAAGATCTGGGTGTGGGATCAGTGAGATTCAGGTTTCAGGACTGGGCAGGCCTCCGGTGGAAAACTCAGCTGAGGAAGGCTTAGGGTGCATCACTGCTGGGCAGGAGGCCCCAGGCCACAGCACAACAGCCTACACTGTGCCAGGCGTTTTGGGCTCCACGATGATTCACACTGGATCCTAGGACAAAGGCTGGCTTCAGTGGAAGGTCCTGGCTCAGAAGCCATGGGAGAATGAGGAGCGAATGGACTTCCAGCTTGAGTGAGCAGAACAGAGGCAGTGGCCATGTGTTCCGGAAGCACTGAGTGACCACGGGGCCCAGGATGGGGCAGCATGAAGGTCATCTTCCGGGTTCCCCAGACCTTTGCTGAAGTTGTAGGACACCACCTGGACTTCCTGGGTGACTTCAGGCAGGTGTCGCGACCTCCCTGGGCCTCAGTTTCCTGCAGAACTGGAGCTGGTACCAGAGTGGACTGCGTAAGGCAGCTATGGGAGGAAACAGTTAACTGGTAGCTTGTCACCATTGTCATCTTCAGCTGCTCCCCTGAGGCACCAGGGTGACCTTAACCGCATTAGGATAAATGCACCCAGAGAGAGGCTTCTCTGTATAGCTGCGACTATCCTGGAACTCGCTATGTAGACCAGGCTGGCTTTAAATTTAGAGACCCACCTGCCTCTGCCTCCTGAGTGCTGGGATTAAAGGTGTGCACCACCACTGCCGTGTGTGTGTGTGTGTGTGTGTGTGTGTGTGTGTGTGTGTGTTTTAAGGGAGGAGTACAAGAGACACAGTAGGGGGCTTGGATCTCAGAGGCAACCTGGAAGAGTCTGTTCTCTGGCTGGAGAGATGGCTCAGTGTTTAAGAGCACTTGTTCAGTTCCCAGCACCCACAGGGTGGCTCAAAGCCATCTGTAACTCTGGTTCCAGGGAATCCAACACCTTTTTCCATCTCTATGGGCACCTAGCACTCATGTGGCTCACATACACTCATGCAGGCAAAACACGCATACACATAAAAGTAAAAATAAGTAAAAAGAAAGAGCCTGCTATCTTCTTCCACCACGTAGGACTGCCAGGCTTGTCAGTAAGTACTCTTACCCACTATGCCATCTTAAAGCCCGTGCCACTCCTCCCCACCTTTTTTGAGACAGGGTCTCAGGTAGCCCAGGCTAGCCTTAACTCCTTAGGCAGTCAAGGATAACCTTGAATCTCTCTCTTCCTGCATCCACCTCCTAAGTGGGTACCACAGGCCGCATCCCCACACGGGCTCTGTTCTGCTGAGGCTGGACCCCAGGGCTCCCTGCAGGCCAGGCAAGCACTCTACCAACTGAGCTACATCCCAGCCCTGTGGTCCATTTTTAACATTTAGCTGTTTCCTTACTGTTGGGACTCTTTGGAGTCCTGGCCCCCAGCCGCTCTTCCCTGCTAGAGATCTTTGCTTTCCTTCTGATGTGAGTTACTGAAAGCTGTGTCAAAGTTGTTTACCAGCTCTGCTTCACGAGCATGTGCTGCCTCGGCCTTGAGGATCAGAGGATAAGGTTTTCACCTGTTGGCCCACCTGACTGTTGGGTATATAAGCCTCCATGGTGCTATTGAAAAAAGGGCTTCTTACCAGCGACTAGAGGTCTCTGTCTCTCTGTGTCTTTGTGTGTTTCAACCTCCAGCCCCTTGCCTGAAGCTCGTGAACTGTATGGTAGCACATAGAGTGCAGACAGGCATTGTGCACTGCACCTTACAGCAATGAACAGGGTTAGATGCAAAAAGATGCCGAGAATGGTACCAAGTTAAAAAAAAAATCCTGGGCTGGAGAGATGGCTCAGCGGTTAAGAGCACTGCCTGCTCTTCCAAAGGTCCTGAGTTCAATTCCCAGCAACCACATGGTGGCTCGCAACCATCTGAAATAAGATCTGATGCCCTCTTCTGGCCTGCAGGCAGACACACAGACAGAATATTGTATACATGATAAATAAATAAATAAATAATTTAAAAAAAAATCCCTGGACCCCATGAAGATCATGGGTCAGGCTAAGCTGCTCTGTCCAGGCTCCAGCTCCAGAAACTTCCTGTGACCCCTGTTGCTTCTGCTGGTGCATTCTCTAACAGGGCAGGGGCAGAGGCAGGGGAGACATCTCCAGTGGGTAAAGGTCAAAGTTCAGGAAAGCGGATAAAATTCTGCAGGCTCCTCCCACAGCAGGGAGAGCTGCATCTGGGACCACTTCCTCTTTTCTCACTCTGAAAATAGGACCTATCCTGCAGGGCAGTCTGAAGAGATGGGCACAGATTTCAGGCTGTCTTAGCCCTGCTTCACCCCTAGGACAGGGAGTGCGGAGTGTGCTGGCCAGTTGCCTCCCTCCCAGCTTCTGGGGTAACTGAGGACCACCCTACAGGCTTGCAGGATGGAGCATGCCGGTGGCAGCGAGGAGAAGCAGGCGAAGGAGGCCTCAGTGTGCAACCTGGTGGCTGTGTTTGAGAACAGCAGGTACAGGTGTTTGGGGAGGGGTCAAGCCCTTCTTTTTGCCTGGTTCTTCGGGTCCTGCCCTGGGTTCTCTCCCAGGTCCCTCCAGGACAGGTAACTGGCAGTACCAGAGACTGCTCTTGGGGTCAGCTGGACAGGGTGAACAAACAGCATGCATTGGGGGGACCCCCAACACACACACACACACACACACACACACTTCCCACTCAGAGCAGGACACAGTTAAGTGGCTGTCGTTGAGATGGAGCCTAAGGGCAGGGCACAGATGACATGGGACAGGGCACACTGCTCACACTGCCACCAGCTCACATCCCTTTCATTCCCACTCACCCGAACGGTCCCAGGGTTCGTTTCCCATCTTTAAAGAAGAAAGAGGAGGCAGGGTGGGGGACCAGGTTCTTTACATTTCTGAGCTTTGGGGCCTGTGCTGAGACTTGCTTCTGAACGGGAAGGACAAAACCAGCTGAGGGAGGGGGTCCTAGTTGGTCCTGGAGGGGCGTGAGTGTGACACGTGGAACTGCTCTGCAGACCTGAGACTTGGAAGTGTCTTAGGTACCGCTCTCTGGAAGCACACCCAGATATCGGTTGGTCTCAGGAGGTTTAGGGGGGACTCCTTGAGAAGCAGAGCCTGAAAGATGGGGGGAGAGGCTGAGCTCTGGTTGTGCTAGGGAGTTCCAGAACCTAGATGCACCGCAGGGGTTCCAGCTGGGGTACCCCTGCCTCCAGTTGCTAGATGAGAAACCTGGGTGAGGCAGGTTTCTTCCCTGGAGGGCAGCTCCCTGAGGGGGACTCTGACAATAAATAACGCTCAGCCTTCAGTGCTCCCAGCCCTAGAGAGCCAGGAGAACACAGTGCAGTGCCTAGGGGCCTATGGAGGGTGCAGGGACAGACTTCTGCTTATGATAAAAAGTTCTCTCCTCCCACAATGCAAGGCCACAGGCTTTGGATGGACTGGGCAGGCCATGGCGTCCCACCTCATGCCAGCAGTGCTTTCACTTCTGACCCTGCCTCTCCAGGGGTTCAGCCAAGCTCATCCTATTCAGCACCCGGGACAGCTCCCCACCACCCGAGCCGTGGGACCACCACACCCAGAGTGCCGGAGGGTGGGTAGGCTCATGTGGGTGCCAGCCCTTGGGGTACCGAGCTGTGCCAGGCTGCACCTCGCAGGTGGAGTCACCCTAGATGGGAGCAGGTCACAAGAAGCGTGTTCAGGGATGTGGGAGTCAGCCTACAGAGTGAGGGGTGCCGTGCAGGCTTCCCGGTGGGGCCATTGGCACTCAGCTGATCTGAAACTAAAGCCTGGGGAGGAAACAGCCACAGGCCTGAGTGCTTGGGAAATACAGAAGCTGAAACCAAATGTTGAAGAGAAAATCTGAGACTCAGCACACTCCCAGCCGCTCACCTCCCGCTACCCATGCCTCCCTGGCTGCAGGCTCTGAAGCTAAGGAACTCAGTTTTCAGTGCCTAGAATGGGCCCCCGATATTCCTGCGACTACCTCCATTGGGCCCTGTGACCTGGGCAATCACCTCAGCTCTCAAGAGAAAAGGCACCTTCCTGTGGAGATTTGGACCCCAGCCTGCAGAATTTGAACCACTTCCGAGTTCTCATCCTTCCTGCCTCAGTTTCCACAGCTGCAGCATGGGTGCAATGATACTCTTTCTCTTTGGGCTTTGGAGGTTTTTAAAAAAACCTGTCTGGCCTCTATTTCCCAGTCTGTCTTTTTCACGGGGATGCCTACCTGGTCTGCTTCCCTGCACACGCCTAGCAGGGAGCACTCTGCCAGGGCAGGCTTCTTTGGCCTGTAGAACTGGTATATGCAGTGGAATAAAACTTCCCTGTGAGGGTCAAACCCATGGGACAGGGGTCCTGCTCCCCAGGATGCCTTTGTCCCCTGGTAGTGGTGTGAAGGGCATGGGTTCCCCTGAAAAGCCCCAGGTTAACATCTGGGTCCTTCTGTGTCTATGATTCCCACCTTCCCTTGATGATCTTGAGAAATATAGAAATTAAAACCAGGGTGAAGTCCAAAGGTGAGGGTGACCCTGAAGGCGCCCCTGAAAAGCTTCTGTGTGCCAAAGGAGAGAGGTTTTCTAGACGTGGTTGCGTTTGAAACAGGGAAGTATACAGTTCCCCTAAGAATAAAACAGTCCACAATGACTCACTCAGAGAGCCGGTGCAGTTCCCTCCCAGAAGGGTGTGCCGGAGACATGGCTCAGTTGCTAGAGTGCTTGCCTAGCATGCACAGGACCCTGGGTTCTGTTTCCCACACCATGTGAACCAGGCACGGTGCCCCATGCCAATCCCAGCTCTAGGGAGGTCGAGGCAGAAGGACCAGGAGCCTAAAGTCACCTTCTGTAACACCTGCACTACAGGACGGTACGCGAGCCGGGAACTAAGCTGGAGACTTAAAAAAAAACTCACAGACAGAGACCCGGGTCATCCCTGATACAGGAATTCCCCCTTTGCTGTGCTCAGGGGTAGCTTACATAGGGCTCTGGCCACGCCCCAGCTCTTGGGATCTTTCAGCTGCTGACCCATCAGAACCCACTCTCCTGCCATCAGGGTCTCGTGCTCAGAGCAGCTGCAGGCAGCTCAGACCAGAGTTGTTTACAGGAAATTCAGGGTCTGGTGGTCCCCAACAACCTTCCACTATAAAGAGGGTCAAGTCCAGCCTGTGATGCACGAGATCCTGGCTCAAAAGTGTGGGGGGCAGGAGGGCTGCAGAGAGATGCGGAAGTCTTGGCAGGTTCCTAGCTGTACCAGGCACTCGGGGGGCCGTGGATACCAGCGACTGACTCACACCAGTCACACCGAGGGGACCCTCAAGCATGGTTTGTTCTTAGCAGGACCCTGGGAACAACACCTGGATCCCATAGTCTTGATGGCCAGCCCCAGAGCCCCGAACACCAGCTGCCCCTGTCCCCAGGTCCTTGGGAGACACCTCCTGCTGAGGAGGCCTTGAACTCTGAGCTCCGACCAGTCAGCAGGACATATCTGAACTCCCTCAAAAATAAGCTAATAAGTGGGGCTTGGAGGAAATCCTGCCAGCCTGGAGCCAGCCCAGGGCCAGAGGCACAGGTGAGGAGGGCTCTAATGGCTGCTGGTTCTGGTGGGGGATGGGTGGAAGGGCCCCTCAGTCTTCCGTCTTTCTTGCTCTTTCTGCCTCCTCTCCCTCTTCCTCCTCTTCAAAACAGGACCTTAGAATGTAACCCAGGTTGGCCTTAAAGTCACCTCCTGCTTCTACCTCCCCAGTGCTGGGATGGCAAGTGTGTTCCAATAAGCCCAAGACCCCCTCTTCCTATAAGGTCACAAACCACATTGGTTCGTGGCCCACCCTTATGACCTAATGTAACCTTGATGACCTCCTACCTCTAAAGAGCCAGAGGATGGCTCAGCTGGGAAGCCAGGCCCCTTCTTCTGTCTCTTCCTCTCTGTGGCTTTCTAGAGAATTCCCCAGCAGGCAGCCAGGTCTCCTCCACAGTGTCTCCTTTGTTCCTGGCTCCCATGAAAACCCAGATGGAAGCTGCTTAACCTTAAAGCCTCAGCCCACGAACTAGGCACCTCTCTAGGCTGTATCCTAAGAAGGCTAGTCCAGGGCCAGACTGGGGGGGGGGGGGGGGGAACACCAGACGGGGTGCTCACTGGGCACAGCCACAGTGTCTTCTGAGTAGTGGCAAGCCAAGATGCCTATCCTTCTCCCCACCCCACCCCCTTGTAGGAACCTGAGGAGAAGAGGGTCGTGCGGGAGCTTCTGGAGACAGAGCAGGCCTACGTTGCACGCCTGCACCTGCTTGACCAGGCCAGTGGAGACACCCCAGCACCCTCCATATCAGGAATGCTGACAGCAGCCCAGGGCTTGGCTTTGACTCAACCCACTGACCCTTGGATGGGGTTGGGCCAGCATCGGAACTGAGACCCTTAGCACCACAGGCACTGCCTTTGTTCCTAACCAGCCTTATACATGGCAGCCCTGCCTGGTTTCCCCAGGTTGCCCTCACCAGACAGACCCTCCCCTTTTTTATGGTGCTTCAGCCAAGGGAAGCCCAAGGCCCCCGGATGGCACAGATGGAGCTGTTTCCTTGTTCCCTTGGCCACCTCCTAGAAACTCCTGGCTTACCCGTCTGTAAAGTAGCTGGAATCCATTCTCCCCTGGCTATCTCCCCCAGGGCTGTGGCAAGGACTGCTGGAGCGGGCTGTCCCCCTGGGTCTGTGGGGGATGCTGGATGGCGGCTCCTTCTTAGGCAGGGTATGACCAGGTGCCGGTCCCCTGCACAGGTGTTCTTCCAGGAGCTGCTGAGGGAGGCGGGCCGCAGCAAGGCCTTCCCAGAGGACGTGGTGCGGCTCATCTTCTCCAACATCTCCTCCATCTACTGCTTCCACGCTCAGTTCTTCCTCCCAGAGCTGCAGCGGCGCGTGGATGACTGGTGAGGTCCCAGGTCTCAGTGCCCCAGCTTGATCAGGGGCCGCAGACCCAGGCTAGGGAGCCTGTCAGGCAGTGAGTAACGCTGGCCATGACTGTCTCCTAAAGGCCTCTACTCCTTGCATGACTGAGGAGGAAGGGGGCAATCCTAGGCTCCCGGGACTTAAGAGATCATGAATGTCATGAGCTCAGAGTCTAAGGAGGAATGGGACTCTCGGGGTGTCGCTCTCCCCTGCACCTGCCCCAACTGGTACTAGAAAGGCTGTTTGCGGCTGGGGCCAGACTGAGAGCCTCCCCTCCCCCACTCAGGACAGCCACACCCCGCATCGGGGATGTGATCCAGAAACTGGCCCCGTTTCTGAAGATGTACAGCGAGTATGTGAAGAACTTCGAGCGCGCAGCGGAGCTGCTGGCTACCTGGATGGAGAAGTCTCAGCCCTTCCAGGAGGTGGTCACCCGCATCCAGGTGAGGGGCGCAGGGGCGGAGCCTGCACGGCCACCTGGTGGGCCTGCCTCATTTCCCCAGGTCGGGCGCCCCACTCAGACCTGGGACCCTGCTCTCCTTTCCCTCACCCTCCCGCCCCCGCTCCCCGCTCCACAAGCTCAGCGAGGCTTCGGGCAGCCTGACCCTGCAACACCACATGCTGGAGCCGGTGCAGAGGATACCGCGGTACGAACTGCTGCTCAAGGAGTACGTGCAGAAGCTGCCACCCGGGGCGCCAGACCTTGCGGACGCCCAGAGTGAGGACACCAGGGGTCCCAGGGAGCTGGGGTGGAAGGCAGGCTGGTCACCGCCATGTGTATACCAAGGACCTACTAAAATGATTCTCATGACCTGTATCATTGCATCAACCACTGACACTTCATACATGTTATCGACACCACAGCCACAGTTGACAGACAGGCCAGTAAGGCCCAGAGAGGTTAAATGACTTGCCAGGGTCACACAGCCCAGAATGGAGCCAAGCTGGGATTTGAATTTACATCTGCAAGGTGTACCTTCTAGGTCTGGCTTTGCTCAGGGAGTGGAGATTATTGCTGAAGTCATACACCTAATCACACAGCTTCCCGGTGGTCTCAGTGCCCCTCTCCTAGGTGGTTCCTGCCTTCTAGACCCTCACTATGCTGGCCTGCATGGGAGGGCTGTGCTGTGCCTGGTGGTGGTTATGGCAGGTCCCCCAGGCCATATTGCCGCGCCCCAGCCCCAACCTGCAGGTCTCCAGGAGTAACTGGGTCCTTGCTCCCTTGCTAGGAGCGCTGGACATGATCTTCTCAGCTGCGCAGCACTCCAATGCAGCCATTGCAGAGATGGTGAGCAGCCCGTCCTCAGCATGGGTGTGGGGCGTTCCCGGATGCACCGATCTCTCCCAGCCGTACCTGTCCCACGCTGCCTCCTTGCCTCCGGCTCCCTCATCCCAGCCCCACCAGGCACATTATCAAGAAGCTGGGACCCTGCCCAGCGTAGGCTGAAGGTGTGCCCCATCTCCAGGAGCGGCTGCAGGGCCTGTGGGAGGTATATCAGCGCCTGGGCCTGGAGGACGACATCGTGGACCCCTCCAACACCCTGCTCCGAGAGGGCCCCGTCCTGAAGATCTCCTTCCGGCGCAGCGACCCGATGGAGCGATACCTGTTTTTGGTAGGGGCTGTCGGGTTCTGCTGTCAGGTGTGCACTGGGAAGCAGAAAACCAGAGTCTGAGCCCTGGCTGACTTCTAAAGACAGCACAGCCCAAGGAAATTAAGGCAGTCACCAGGAAAATCTGCCAGACCAACCCTGGAAAAACCAGGGTCTCCGGACATCCAGCCGTATGGCTACATTGAGGTCTATAACACCGTCAACTCTGGGGCTCCTCTGGCTGCTCTGGTCCCCTAGTGCTCAGAGTAGAGGGACCCTTCAGAGTTCGTTGGTGCAATTGGGGGCTAGACAGCTACATTCTCGCTCCTTCCCAAATCACCTGTGCAGACTGTGCACCAGCCTAGAGTGTGGCCAGAGGGGAGGGGAGGGATCACCTGTGATGACCTGTGAGCCAGCCTAGAGTGTGGCCAGATCACCTGAGAGACCCTGAGCTGCTACCCATACCGCCTGTGTCTCCCCAGTTCAACAACATGCTGCTGTATTGTGTACCCCGCGTCCTCCAAGTGGGCGCCCAGTTCCAGGTGCGGACCCGCATTGATGTGGCTGGCATGAAGGTGAGCCATCCTCCAAACAGGACCCAGGGTGGGTGACAGTGGGGGGGGGCAGAGCAGGTCTTTGAGGGGAAATGTGGCGGAGCTCTGCTGTACGGCCCTT